TTTACATTTTACTCTTTACATTAATTCATTTAATTAAAGTTAATTTAGTTTTAACAAAATAACTATGAGTTTCATGGTCTTCTATCAATTTACGGGATAATGTTTATTTGAGATATTTTATATTGATCGGCACCATAAAATAGATGTAAATATTTTTTTTTACTTTCGAGTAGACTATAAAATTTCATAAATGCAGTTCTATAGTGATGAATACAGTAGATATACATCATTATAGAACTGCATTTATGAAATTATAAAATTTAGTATACAGTATACTTTACATGGAATAAAACTAATGTTACGTATTTTATCACGTTTAATTTTAACTTCTTTACGTGGGGTTTTTTTGCGCATCTTTAGATGAAAGTTCCATAAAAACCCGCGTAAAAGAACATATTGTTGATGTGAAACACCGACGCTCCGGGAAGTCTAAAGTATGTCAACATGTTTAGTATCGTCCCAACCATTATATCGGATCTGATATACAACAAATCCTTGAATATAACACCAATTGCTACCAATGATCATTATAATTTTAAAATGGAAGATGGCTGAGTGTTATCATCTGCTAAGGACCCTATCTATACAAATAAATAAAACTGAAGTGTCTGTTTGTAATGTCAAAATAACAGCTTTTTACTAAATGTATATGAAAGTATATACGATACTTATAATAAAAACACAATTTATAAAATTTTTGTCTGTCTGTTTGTTCCGGCTAATCTCCGAAACGGCTGGACCTTGCAGATAGCTGATGTTATAGGAAGTAACTTAGGCTACTTATATTTTAGAAAAAGGATTAGGGTTCCGCGCAACACAATTAAAATCCTAAATTACACGCGGGTGAAGTCGCGGGGAACAGCTAGTAATTAATAAAATTAAATTCAAACCCAAGCATACTATTGCATTTATTCTATTCATTTCTATTTTTATTATATTCTATTCTAAACATGATATCAGGAAATGGAAGTCCATAATCTCTGCCTACCCCTCTGGGTGACAGGCGTGAGTGTTTATGTTTATGTATATTTTTTCGCAACGCTTATCACTCAAATATAAACCATAAGTTCTCGAAAACAAGTTTGTATTCAGTGTACCCAAGACTTGTTGCCGGATCCCGCCACATAACAAGTGAGTTGTCTTATTCGTACACCAGTGCCACTGCATTACGCATCCTACTTACGCATACCGTGTTATCGTGCCCACTTGCGCAGAGTAGTAACAAGCTTAGACTAGACAACCATGAATCGCTCACCAACAAAACGCTACGATAGTGATCCAGATCTACAAGAAATGAGAGTAACGCTTCGAAAGCGTAAATACGATGAGGAAGTATCTGATGCTTTTAGGGTATTCACAGAGTCCATATTATCAAAACTGGACACTATAAAAATTTACTTTGATGACAAAATATCGCATATATTGTCATCAAAGATCATATCATATCAGCATAAACACCGTCATGAAACAAGATATATCAAAACTCAATGACACCATCTTGGAGGTGAAATCAGATATTAACTGTATTCGAGAGGATTACTGCAAGATAAACACAAATATTCAAGATTTACATAAAAAACAAGCTACTCTAGAAAAGGAGATGATATCTCTTAAGGAATTGACACAATTTACATCGGATGAGCATGACACTATAAAAAAAAGTATACAGATACTATCCAGCACAAACAAAAAATGTTGAGGAAATGCGCCGTGAAATTATTGAATTGAAAAAGCAGAACACTTAGCTTAGAACAGATATCAACTACAAAGAACAAATTGAGCGTCTTTTGAATTTAGAAATAGTTGTTCTCCCTGAGGATAAATGCGAGAACCTAACAAATATAATCATAGCCTTGGGTAACCTTGGGTAATAAGTTCTTCTACTTTTTCGTTTGCAACAAGTGATCGGGTGGCAGATGTCGCACTCGTCGGCGAAGGCCCAAGTCCGAGCGTGGGGAAATTACCCGCGCGCGTCGGTTCGTCTTGCATGTTGCTGTGCTATTAACCAACAAAGTTGGGTAGTCCGCGAGCTTGTATAGGGTAACCGTGCTAACGAGCAGTTGGCCGATAGTTGGACAACTTTTTAATTGTGCGTAATCGGAAGGGAATCTTGATTCTGATACGATCGGTGTTCAATTAATTAGTTGGACAAGATGTGTGGGCTAGCATATGTCACTATACCTATTGGTATGCTCTGCGATTTAGTCGGCCAACTTATAATTGTAAATCTGCGGTCTCTCTAAGCAAACTGCTAAAAAACTCGAATTCCTCTACGCCTGGACAAAAAGCGGAAGAATTTTTGTCCGCAAAGCAGATACATCACCCCCAATACTAATAGCCACAGAAGAGGATCTAAGGAAGATTGTGTGAAGATTAGCGTTCCAATAATATTTAGGACTCTCATTCTAATTTTCTTACGCAATTCTTTAAATTTAAACAACAATTTTTTTTATATTCTTATTACTAATAACCTTAAGTTCTTTATATGTGGGTTCAAGGATGTTATCATAACGTCTCATCCACATTTTTATTGTCACCTCTATGTACTGTACTACTCTGTGTCATCTACTAACTACGAGCTAATGGCTAATGCACAAACCATTCGCGCAATTTCAGAAAATTAGTCGAATATTCGAATACAGCAGATTTAATATTCGAATACTTGGACAAGGTATATTATTCGAATTATTCCAATATTCGAATGCAAGGCCTAGTCGGCATAGAACAAGTGTCATACTGTACAGTTCACAAAGTGTTAAAGCATAACCGAATGCGCCCATACAAAGTGTACAAAGTGCAAGCGTTAGTTACCGGCGATCACGACCGCCGGCGAGTTTTCTGCCGTTGGTTATAAGACCAGCAACAATGTGTGCCTGATTTCTTTGGGCACGTCATCTGGACGGACGAGTCGACATTTACCAGAAACGGCCTGTGGAACCGAAGAAATACACACGTGTATTCCGATGTTAACCCGCACGCTGTTCGACAAACCGGGCACCAAACTCGATGGTCGGTTAACGTATGGACAGGTTTATTTAAGAATCGCATACTAGGACCAGTGTTTCTGCCACAGCGACTTAACGGACAGCGATACCTGAACTTCATAAATGAACAGTTGGTTGACATTTTAGACGACCTATCGTTGGCTGAAAATCGCCGCACATGGTTCCAGCACGCTTGGCCACCTCGCTCGCCAGATCTGACCCCGTTAGACTTCTTTCTGTGGGGGTATGTGAAAGAAAGGGTTTTTAGTCGTGAGTGTGATAGTGCTGATAAGGATCGTGGATGTTTTCGACAAACTATGTACGGACTGTGTCGAAGAACACACGATGATGCCCCGCCTGCATGAGGAGACGCAACACCGAGCCCAAATCTGCCTTGAAATGAATGGACCACAATTTGAGCCGCATCTCATAAGACCACGGAGGATTTAGAGCGGTAAGCTGTTTCATAACTATTTTTTTAAATAACTTAGTACTGAACTAATCTGAATAGGTACATAACTGAATACATGAGAATAATAAACATACCTACACGATGAATAAAAACGCATGACTCTAACCTTGGTTAGAGTTTCATTTAAATATTTTTTCATTCGCGGGGAATCGAACCAGTTATTTGGGTTATTTAACTTGTGAATTCGGATTAAAGTGGCTACGCGGAGACAAGCACAGTGGCAAAATAATAGGTTAAGTAGATAAGTTAGGTATTTAGACAAGTGTTGTAAATTATTAGGTATTGTGGTATGGCCCGCTAGTTGCCTCGTTGTACGTTGTACGTTGACCTCTAGTCAGTTGAATGTAATTCAGTAATTACACTGCTGGTTTTATGTTTCAGTATTTTCATGATTTTTTTTATGAAATCATTTAGCTGTACTAACATAATACAGAATGAATAAAGCTAATAAAACGTTGTGAAAAGATGATTTTTCTTTAATCAGGATCGATTTTATATTCCACCCATCATCGAAGGTATAGTTGGTACTGTCGTCTGTCTCTGTATATATATATATATATATATATATATATATACTCCAAATTCGTAGGCTTAGTAAGGGGGGGGGGGGGGGGACTAGTAGAGTCTACCGAGAGGTAATATATGATTACGCATGTAATAATTACAATTGTTCCGGGTCTGGATGTTTGTCCTTGTGAAATTTGTGTTTGTAAACTGCCTCCACGATACAGGAGAAAATCCTAGTGGGGGTAATGATTTAAAACTAAAATATATATATATATATATATATATATATATATATATATATATATATATTTTAATATGTTTATACAATCTTATTCTTATTTCATGTACAAAACTTAGGACTTCAGCTCTTTTCTTATTTATATATTTACATTTAAAAACATCGACTGCTTTACTTTCTCAGTATTAAGTCTTGTTATGCGATCTAATATTAAGTATCCAGACTTGGAAAATATGCGCTCGCAATATACTGAAGTGCTCATTGCGCAGCTTTTGCCACGCGTGTCGCGTCGCGGGGCCGCGAAGAATAGGTACGACGCGTGCAAAACGTCGCGTTCGTCGCTCATTATGAACTATTCTTTGATTGGGTATTGTTGAATAACCTAATATGAGAACATTCGTACCTAATATGAAACTTTTGCCGTGTACCTATTACGTATACTTACTACAAATATATTAGTCGCAACTGCACCTCTAACCTGTACTATACTCTTTGAGTACTAGCTCACTCAGTATTACAGGTTTGAGAGGCCGTCAAAATCTCCCAAAGGCTGTGCACAATGTGACGCATCAACATATTGTGAACAGTGTACTATGAAGGATAATTATACATTGTAACTTCAGGCTCAGAAAGGCTAGAACCCAGAGCCGTAAAGTCAGTTATAAAAAAATATTACAAGTTATGTTACAGTTACAGGTTACAGCTTACAGGTTAAAATTTGTAATAAATATTTATGCGTGGATATTATTCTCAAGCTCTCAAGGGTTCATATTAACCACAAAAAAAAAAAGAATATAATATGTCGCGTGGTGTTATAAGTGTTGGCGACTATATAGTTATTCAGAAACAAAATTATAAGAAACTTCATAAATATAACAAGGCAAATTCATGTGTAAATATTGGACGTGATAGTGTTAATTTAAGTGGTTTAGAGGGTTGTGAATATTTTTCTGTTTTTAGGATGTTACCAAAAAATAACAAAAGAAATAGAGAATATGATTTGGAGATAACTCAGGAAACTGTTGACCTTAAAAGTGAAATTGATGTTAAAATTTCAGGAATCGATAATAGAAATATTTTTGACGATGGTCTATCTCAAAAGCTAACAGCTGCAGAAATAGATGACCTTAAAAGTGATGCAAATAAAGCTTCATATATTGTAGAGACTCTTATAAGTAATTCAAACACATTTCATAATAAAACTGAATTCTCACAGGAGAAGTATTTAAGGAAGAAAGAAAAAAAATATTTTGAATATATACAAATACTTCGACCTAACTTGAGAATGATCAGTGAAATATTGTACAAGCTAGACCCCAGCAAAATTCAAGGTTTAAGGACTGATACATTATCTCAAATTATCACTTTGTGTAATATTAACTGTGAAGGTAATCATTTATTGTATGACTCTGGTTCCAATGGTTTGTTGGCTGCAGCATTATTAAGTGCCATTGGAGAGCTTAGTGATGGTAAATTGATTCATATGCATCCTGGTAATATGTCACAAAAGTTGGCATTAATGGCTATGAATTTTGGTGCAGAACAATTAGATAGATGTATTTCAGTTAATGTATATTCTGCATTACGACAGTACTACCAGGGATGTGATACTAATTCAAATGAAAATTTATCTGTATTAGAGAATAGTACAGAAAATGAATTAAAAAGAAAAGCTGATGATGTTATAGATCATAAAAGCAAAATTGCCAAAATAGATAACTTAACTGATGATAAAAATAATATTGTCAGTCTAACAGATTCACATAAAATTGACCAAAGTGAACCAAAAAAACCAAAATGGCACTTTTTAAATATAGCTGCATCTCAACTTCTATCTAATAAAGTTGATTCTTTAGTTATTGCTAGTAAAGAAGATCCTCAAAACATTTTTAAAGAATTATCAGCTTTTGTCAAGCCAGGAAGGCCTTTTGTTGTGTATTATAATGTTGCAGAACCCTTACAACAGTTATATATGACTTTAAAATCCCAGAATAACATTGCTGCCTTGAGATTAACTTGGAATTGGATGAGGAATTATCAGGTAATATAACTTTACTTATCCTAAAAATTTGAAAATTAATTATATTAAAATCTAATGATTACATGGAAAATTAAATGGTGTTTATAATCTAGATTGTAGACTACTACCCTTTCTCCTGCAATTGTGTTACCATCCCTGCCACCAAATCCAAAATAATATTAGCCATGATGAGAAGTTTAATACTGCATAAACAATTAATTTGTTACTTAAGTAGGGAGTGGTTGTTTTAAAAATGTGTGCTTACTTAGCAGTTAGACATTGCAGTATCTATTTTTCATGATGACTCATTAAGAGCTAAAATGTGTGTTTTCTAGTGTAGTGTTTAGAGCTAGTTGTACTAGATTTAGAGGGCTTCTACGGTTCCTATGGCACCACTATTTGAAGGCGGATTCGGATAGATCTCGATGAGATACGTCAAAAAGTAAAAATAAAATTTTTATACCGTATAATACTCCCCAAGATACTCATAAATTGAACACTAAAACTGAATCAGCACACCCTGACTCCACATAGTCTCGTCTGCCCTACTCCTAATGTTTTTGTAAAGCCATAGGCGCAGAGTGAGAGCAGCCCTCAGAGCGATATCAGGAGATGGGATCAAGGTTCTGGAAGAAAAAGATGCACTGAGCTATAATACAACCACTTCTTAGGTAATTGACAGATCTAACTTTGATGAGCAGTGTTGTAGAGAATACAACATCTCATCACATATTTAGCAATACTTAAAAACAAGAGTGCAACCAACGTGTGTTGCCAGTGATGACACATGGATCTGGGATAGTCCTTCACTGCTGACCATAAGGAATCTCACATTGGCTCAGTGAGCTATGTAGAAAATTATGCTCGGAATTCTTTGTATAATAGATATGCATAATGATGATGAATGGCTATAATTATGATGATGATATAAAAAAAATGATTGCCTTTTTAATATAAAGGTATCAAATCGTAGATTAAAATTTAGATCACAGCATTGTAATTTCTGTAGGAAATGTAAAACATTCAAAGTAAAAATGTTCAGGTGCTATTTTTTTGCTTTAATTTTACTTATTTAATTGTATTTTATTTTATTTGATTTTTATGAAACATTTAATGTTATAATTTAACATAAATAAATTTATTTCAGATTCTGCCCGAAAGAACACACCCAGAAGTCATGATGAATGGTTCGGGAGGCTTTCTGTTAAGTGGTTATATACTTAAATAGTATAGTAAGTTTATTGAAAAAAATAATAAAAACATTTTATACAAAGTTTTAATGCTCTCATTTGCTCAAATGCACATAATATCATATCAAACTAAATGCATCATACAAATAAATGTGGTTGACATGAAGACTTTTATAAGCTTGGTAGTAAATAATTAAATTGGGAAGAAAATTAACAATATTTTGGTGGCAAATAAATGAGTTTCTTGGATAATGCAGTGCGGTATACCATTTGGATATACAAAAATAAATTTCCGATAAAATGTGTCAATTTATTGTTATGTAAGTGCAATTTTTTTTGGACATTCCACATTATATTATAAAATCATTTATGTGTATAAATAATTGTTTACAATATCCTGTATATTTATTTTAAAATTTTGTGATAGTGGCATTCTCAGAATAGTCTAAATGTGTATTTGCATCGCGAACCAAGCATAAAATAGGTAAAAGCATATATAATTAATTAACTTGCTTCTATCTTTAAACTTTATCACTCCATCTTCAAGACTTTCGATTTTTAATACTTTCAAAGAAATTAAACAGACATAATAAGATCAATACATTATACTTATATTACCCATAAAATGTATGTAGGAATGTCGGTCCGAACCTCATTGGCTAGAACATGTGATTTGATGGTGACAAGTGAATATTCGAGAACAAAAATATCAAATAATACAATAATCATCTCAATCCATTTGGCACACTGAAAATTGGGTGCTTATAAAGATGTTCAAAACTAGATTTTTAATTCTTTAAAAGAAAAAAATCTGGCATAATAAGATCAATATAATACTCAAATGTATATAGGAATGTCGGTCTGCATAAATTCATCATTTTAAATAATAACTGAACATGTGATTTGACGGTGACAATATTTTTAACATTCATGGGTGACAAGTAACATATTCAAGAATAAAAATGCCAACACAGAGCAAGATCCGCCAGTGGCCCATGGAGCTCTATGAATGGTGACTAATACAATAACCATCTCAATCCATTTGGCACACTGAAGATTGGGTGCTGAATGTTAAGTGGCAGTCAAGAATATTTTTATGTTAATAACCTGAAACATTTTATTGCCATAATTGATAATTAGTGATAAACATTCAGATAGTACTTTATTAATTCCTGCTAATATTTATTAAGAAATAAGATGCATTATTATCAAACCTACTATCAAATATAACCTCAACTAATAAAAACAAAAATCAGCAAAATTTCTCTAAACAGTTACAAATTGCCCATCAAATTTTGTTGTTTAACTACCACTGTCATCATTGTATTATAGGTACAAACTAAGTGTTTTTTTTTAAATTAAATTGAAACTCGATAATTCTTATTACAATCAGATAAGAAGGCATTTATTGCTCATTAGTAATAATTTTGTCTGTTATAAGTAAGTCCCTTCTTCTTTTTGAATTTATACAGACTCAGATCAATTGGACAGTGGAAACTATCTTCAACTCATATATTTTTGCTATTGGGGAATGTTGCAAATGATTACAATATTAACTCAAGCTAGTATAAATTCTGCCGTAAACCTATTCAAGCATGTGCTGTTGATTTAATACAGAATAATTAAATAAAATATATTACTCGTATGTTACAGCAACTTAACATAAAAAATAAAATATTTTTATAAATACCATATAATTTCTTTAAATCCTATCTCTATTTAGAATTGAAGTATAATTAGCAAAATACTATCATATTCCAGAAGGCATAGATAAATGTTTTAAACAATTAGCACTTGATATGTGTTCTATAAATTCTGGAATATATAGGTGCAATTTTTTTTTTAGTAGTGACCAAAATATAATATGTCAGTCATTTGCGATTAATGCCTCGCAAGTATTTGATTTTGTTCCAAAATAAAATTTTGAAGCAGGAGCTATTCTTTTTCAGTACAAATCGATATTAAATTATATTCAATTTTATTTTTTATGCTTTTTGTATAAATGTTTACGCACTAAAAAACTTTTAATCTTAATATTTTCTTATGTTGGCGGTTTTTAGCAATAGTCCATTTTTTCTATTTTGGTTTTATTTGTTAATTTCATAAATTATATAATACCATATTTACAAAATATTTTTTTGCAAACAACTGAAACAAGTATATTTGTTGTCTTACAACTGGGCAAAATAGTATATTAAAATAATACTTAAAACAGTCACAAATATTAATTATAATAATTCTTCATCTCTTCTTCTCCTTTTAATAGAGGTAATAGTGAATTATTATTTTTATGATGCAACTGTTGAGTAAAGGATATAGAACCGAATTCAATTAACGAAAGAAACAAGGATACTGCAAATTCACTCGAATTTTGATAAATAAAGAACTAAGTGAAAACATTATAATATGCAGTACCTTTGTTAAAATTTTAATATTACATTAGGGAATAACTTTGGTATTGGTGTTAATACATCAAAAGGCATACAAAGCTGTGGTCAAGGCAGCAACGCTGTGACTGTAGTAAACGTTTATAAAAGAGACCACTAGTGTTTACTGCGCACCGTCACGCGGGCTCGGACACAGTTCCTATTACAGTGCTACTACTCAGCTATGAAGAGTCTTCGTCGTACCACGTGCGGAAGTCACAACTCTCGTCATAGTCATCCTGGAACAAATGTACCTCATAAGATAAATTTTTCAAACATTATTATATGTACAAGGTGTCCCAGAACGTAACGATCAAACGAAAGGGGATTGTAGACCATGGGAGGACTGTTCAAAAAAGTTAAGTCCTATACCCAAGTTGCGTGATTTAAAAGATAAAGGCTTATTTATAAATTTTCCAGAAAATCACCCTTTGCGTCAATATTTTTGATGCTGGTGCTGCAAATGAGGACCGATTTTAATTTCTTTTTCTGTTTTGTGTAGCCTAATGATATGCCTACTATACCTACTATTTAATTTTTCAGTACTTAATACGGTTTGGTAGAAATAAATACATAAAAATTCGTATAAGTGTAAAAAATAATTTTTTTTCGAGCAAGTTGGACCTTTCACCCTTTAAAAAATGTACCCAAATAGACCTGTTTTCAAAAGTTGGCGCAATTCATCTAGATTTCAAAATGGTATAATACTTTGTACTTTTATTTCAATTTTTTGTGCTATAATTTTTTTTCTCGCAGAGGGTAGATTATGTGCAAATTATTCAATTAGATATTTTTTTAAATGATTCGTCCGTTCGATTAATGTAAAGAGAAATAATTCGTTTTCACACTGATTTGGCCGATTTCAGACCATTAATATAAAATTAATATTAATAATATCCATAGAAAAGTAAAAATTAGTTAATTTTTTTTTACAATTTTGGAAACAAAACACATTCAAAATTACGATACAATACGATTCTATGCTTCATCTTTAGTTTTAGGTTCTCATCTTTAGTTGCTATGAATATTCATCATCATCATTACAGCCCTTCACAAGTCCACTGCTGAACATAGGCCTCCCCCAAGGAATGCCACAAAGCACGGTCCTGAGCCATCTGCATCCATCCACTTCCTGCATATCTTACCAGGTCGTCACTCCATCTAGTGGGGGGACGCCCTACACTTCGTCCGCCGGTACGAGGTCGCCACTCGAGAACCTTTTTTCCCCATCGTCTGTCGGTTCTTCAGCTATACATTGCCACTTCAGCTTACTAATCCGTTGGGCTATGTCGGTCACTCTGGTTCTACTGCGGATATCCTCATTTCCAAGTTTATCACACAGAGAAACTCCGACCATAGCCCTCTCCATAGCTCGCTGAGCGACCTTGAGCTTCAGTGCAGCAGTGAAGGATCACGTCTCAGTACCATAGGTCATCACTGGCAACATGTACTGGTTGTACAGTCTTGTTTTCAAGTTTTGAGGTATAAGCTGACGAGAAGATGTGCCGTAGTTTCCCGAACGCTGCCCAACCGAGTTGAATCCGTCGATTGACCTCTTGGTCGAAGTTGGACTTACCTAGTCGGACTATTTGTCCCAGGTAAACATACTCGTCAACAACTTCGAGCTTAGTGCTCCCAACAACTACCGGCATAGGTGTGACATGGACATTAAACATGATCTTTGTTTTGTCCATGTTCATCTTAAGACCTATCCGTTGGGAAACACTATTGAGCATAGTGCTTAGGTCCTCCAGCGATTCTGCCATAAGGACTATATCATCGGCAAATCGAAGGTTAGTGATGTACTCGCCATTGATGTTAATACCGTATCCTTTCCAGTCCAGAAGCTTGAAAACGTCTTCCAATGCAGCGGTGAAGAGTTTCGGGGATATAACGTCACCCTATCTTACACCTCTCTGCAATTGGATAGGTTTCGTACTCTGGTTCTGTACTCGGATAGCCATCGTAACCCTACTGTACAAGCACTTCAGCACTTCGATATACCGACAGTCAACTTGGCATCGCTGAAGGGACTGCAGCACCGCAGAAATTTCAACGGAATCAAAGGCTTTCTTATAGTCCACATACGCCAGAAATAGTGGCAAATTGTACTCCTCGGACTTCTGTACAATTTGCCCGAAGGGTATGTATGTGGTCTATGGTGCTAAAGCCTTTTCGGAAACTGACTTGTTCGGGAGGCTGGAAGTCGTCAAGTCTGCGCGCGAGACGCTTCGTAATGACTCTCTAAAACAGCACGTAGACGCGGTTCAGAAGGGAAATCGGTCTGTAGTTCTTCAAGAGAGCGTTGTCACCTTTCTTGAAGAAAAAGACCACCGCACTTCTGCTCCACGCCTCCACCATGGAGGACGGAATTAAAGAGCTTCTGAAGGACTTCAAGTACCGTTTTTCCACCCGCTTTCAGAAGCTCCGCTGTAATTCTATCCTCGCCTGGGGCCTTGCCGTATTGAAGGTGCTGGAAAGCCAGTCTAATCTCGCTCAGACTGACGTCCGGGATATAATCGGAATAGTGTCGGATAAGACTCACTCTTGGATCGTTACTCACACTTACGGTTGGCTCCAACGATGATGTCCACATCATCTTTGGAGCTATGAATATTGCATAGAATTAATTCTTGCACTTGCACTTACATGTAAGTGCAAGCGAGACAGAAGATAGGGAAGTAACTAGAACTATGCACAGCTCAGGTAGGTAAGATCCCTTCCTTTACCTAGCCCGTATCTTTTGGTTTCAACAACGAAATCAAATAAATAAATAGTCAGTACTTTGTTCGCGTCGCACATTTCTCCTGTTTTCCTGTTCTCATTGATGTTTTAGTACTATCTGACTTGGCTTTCTATTGGACTTTGTGGCTCTTCTTTTGGCGACGACCTTGGCTTTCTACTGGACTTTGTAGATACTGTCTTGGCAACTACTTTGGCCATTTTATTAGAAGACTTACCACTAGCAACTTTACGAGATGTGGTTACAGAATGATGGTTGCCTCACCCATTACGCTTTGCCGGTGAGAAACTTTTTAAATGAAAATCTCCCAGGAAAATGAATAGGTCGCATGGGGCCTATTTTATGGCCAGCACGGTGGTCACCGAACCTTAATCCATTGTATTTTTTTATTAGAGATATCTAAAACAAAAGGTGTATTCAAAACCAATCCCCAATATTGCAGAGCTTCGACAAAAAGTAATTGAATTTTCTCAAATAACAGAAAATTGGCGCGGCCTATAACACGTTCTTTCATAAGAAGATGCCGCGCCTTTACTAGAGTAGGAAGTTGACAATTCGAACATTTATTGTAAAAATTAGCTGTTCCCCGCTACTTAGCCCGCGTGTAATTTTAGGGTTTTAATTATATTGCTCAGAACCCTAATTATTTTTCTCAAGTCTAAGTAGCCTTAGTTACTCCTTAGAACATCAGCTATCTGAAAGTTAAAGTCCCGTCGAAATCGGTCCAGCCGTTTCGGAGATTAGCCGGAACAAACAGACAGACAGACAGACAAAATTTTTAAAAATTGTGTTTTTGTTATAAGTACTGTTATAAGTACCGTATATACATTCATATGCATTTAGTAAAAAGCTGTTATTTTAACATGACAAACAGACACTTCAATTTTATTTATTTGTATAGATTATCAATAAAAATCACAAATAAATTACTAGTTTTATTATCACTTATTGTTTCCTTTGTACAAACCAAAGTTATCGGGATTACATACCTGAATAGTTATAGTCAATTTCATACCTTCTGTCTCACTTGCACATACACCTATGCGTCATAGCAACTAAGCTGAGAAGCATCGTATCTACCTTCTGCGAGAAAAAAAATTATAGCACAAAAAATTTAAATAAAAGTACCAAGTATTATACCATTTTGACATTTACATGAATTGCGCCAACTTTTGAAGACAGGTCCATGTGGGTACATTTTTTTACAGGTTGAAGGGTCCAACTTGCTCGATAAAACTTTAATGTTACATTTTTAAACTTTTACGAATTCTTATGTATTTATTTCTACCAAACCGTATTAGGTACTGAATAATTAAATAGTAGTTATAGTAGGCATATCATTAGGCTATACATAATAGAAAACAAATTATAATCAGTCCTCATTTGCAGCAGCAGCATCAACAATATTGACGCAAAGGGTGATTTTCTCGAAAATTTATAAATCAGCCTTTATCTTTTAAAGCACGCAACTTGGGTTAATTTAGACTTAATTTTTTGAACAGTCCTTACATGGTCTACAACCCTCTCTCATTTGATCGTTACGTTCTTGGACACCTATATATAAAATTCTAGAACCTTAATCAAAACTATTTGAGAAAACACGCTATTTGTATTTGAAATAGTTTTCGTTACGTGGACTGAATGAATACTGCAATATGCATAAACACGAAAAAATAGCTTATTTTTAACCTATTCACCACGCTAAAAATTATAGTTATATTTGATAAGCTAATTTTTTCATATCTCTTTAGCGAAATAGTTTATGCGAAAATAGGCGAGACTATTAAGAAGTTTCTCTTGTAAGTAATAAGTAATAATTTTTTATAGAATTATTCTATAAACAAAATATTACTTGCAGAGTACCAAGTTTTTATTTATAAACCGTTATTTCAATAAAAGGGTTTGTCAAGATTACTACATAATTATAACAAACAAAAATAAACCGAAGAGTCAATAATTGGCAATAATTATGAGCCTAGTTTTAGTTTAGGAAAGCAGCTGTGTTCATACATGGCATTCAACACTAGCTTTTTTCCTCATGGTCGATACCTGCCTTGTATAAACAGGTCTCTAGTTCACTAAAAGTACTCTCGTGCTCCACTAGCAACACTTATTACTATTTGTCTAGGTAAAACTTAGTTGGTTTTCCATTTTAAGGTCAGATTTGGGGTATTTAAAAATACAAAGATGATTATTTGACTGCAAAAACTATGACGTCATTACTCTGTTTGTAGTCAAACAGAGTAATGACGTCATAGTTCCTTAAAATAATTTAAATGACTAGTGTTTGACCATTGCTTTAAAAGAATATCCGGGCAGCAAAAAATTTCCAATTTACAGGTTTTGAACAATCTATTGCTGTCGCGTTGTGCCTCAACTGTTGTAACTCTTTATGCTCAAAATAATAAAAATTGAATAAACAAATTAATGTGTTTTTATAAAGTAATACTCTTAAAATGTGGTTGGTGACATCCACACTCTGGCGGACGATCGACTGTGTGGTTTACGAGTGTGTGATTGCATGGTTTGAGGTTGGATTTTTGTTCTTAAAGATGTGAAAACTAATTACTATAAAATCTCATAGTGTTTGAGACATTTCCTAGGGCTACAACAATTTATGTGTTGCTGTTTGAAGCATTCCTCAAAAGTGACAACACATTCATATCCTGAATCTTTATTCTTTGAATTTATGAGTAAAAAATATACTGACCGACATCCATGCATGGTCAAGCACATCTTCGGCTGCAAAGCGTAGCTCCGGTTGAGGACGAAGCATGTTAGCCACAAGATCGATGGCTCCAGCTGACACCCGTTCCCAATGTGGCGCTGGGAACTCGAGACGGGCAGAGAGGATCGCGTCAAACAACTTTTCCTGATCGCCGTCGGGAGAAGAGAATGGAGGGAAGCCACATAACAGGATATATAGGATGACACCCGCCGCCCATACGTCAATCTGTTACATATTACACACAAATGAAGTGCTCTTGGTTGTCAATATATTTTAAAAGTATTTTATAATAAACAAACGTCAACATTCGAACAACAAAAAATTTATTATCAGTAGCTTGAAATACTTTCAATGCAGCAGTGAAGAGTTTCGGGGATATTTTACGTGGTAGAGCCATGCCGCTGCTATATTATGGTTGTAACACGAATGTGTCGACTCGTCCGGGTAAGGACCACGCTTTCACCGAATACCAGCGTAAAGAAGCAACTTAATGTTGCTGTATTTCGTGTGGTGAGTTGTAGAGAAGAGAACCGGATACCCTTTTTACTGGAAACTAGGTATACCCTCTTAGTACTCTGGGGTGACAAACTACGACGCCTAAATTACGACTGGATGTTAATCTAGGGCAAATTGTCTGACTTGGTAAGTCTAACTTCGAGCGAGAGGTCAATCGACGGATTCAACTCGGCTGGGCAGTGTTTGAGAGATTACAATACATCGCGTCACGTATAATCATAGTAAATAAAAAAAAATATTCCATTCTATTCTATACCTCAAAATTTGCAAACAAGAGTGCGTGTTGCTAGTGATAACATACTGACCAAGAGCGCGTATTGCTAGTGATGACAGTCTGTCTATCTGAGACATGATCTTTCAAAAATTAGGAAAAATTTTATTATAAGAATTAGGAGAACCTTTTTTTGCACAGTCCAATATGGTAAGTGGTTGCTGTGACCCATAGATATCTACATCTTAAAGAATCAAAATGCAGATGCGTTGTCACCCGTGAGGACTAAGATAGAGTGCCTCTTTTCCAGTAAAAAAGGTCTCCGGTTTTCTACACTCACCATACGAAACACAGCAATGTTAAACTGCTATTTTACAATGGTATTCTGTGAGAGTGTGGTCCTTCCCCGGTCAAGCCGACCCATTCGTGCTACAACTATACTACCAATATAGCTGCAGCATGGCTCTACCACATATAAAGCTAACACCACAAATAACTTATTGGAAATAATACTGTTAAATATTTAAAAAAAATTGGTATAAGTACATAAAAGCATTATTTAATATTGTTGTGTGTAGAAGAAGCTTTAACACCAAGAAGTTTTTTATTTATTGGTGCAAGGGAATCGCAATCACCCACTAAAGGATTTGAATGTATGAATTGTCTTATTTCCTAATAAAGACTCACGATGTCCCCAATCATGTTGAAATGGCTATACTTTTGTCATATAAAGTCCAGAAACAGCAAACACATTGCAGGTTTTTTAGTTTAGTCAGGCTGTACCAAAAATAATGTTATAATTAACCTTCAAACCATATCCAGTCTCTAGCAATATTTCTGGAGCAACATATGTTGGAGTACCGCATACAGCATGAAGAGGCCGCCACACTTCGACGGCTAAGCCGAAGTCTGCAAGTTTCAAGCCGCGTATACTACCATCCGGCCCTACTTCTACCTGCAAAGTACACAAAATTTTAAATATTTTACTAAACCACAATACAAGTAAAACTTTAATATCATTAAATTTATCCAGAAAGCCGATATTTGGTATTGACGTTGTTTTACTTTAACTTTTTATTATTAATAGCCAAGGCAAGTTTTAGGAATGACGATTAAAGAAAAAATTCAAAATATAAATAGAAGTGAGGTTAGAACTTAAACTTAGAGCAGTATAAAAAATTCGTCGCAGGCGACATGTTGGTGATTTCTATAAAAGTTACCTTGTCAGCAGTTACCTTATTTGACATGATTCTGTTCTTTATGACTATTCCACTAGAACAAGCAAAGAAGCAAGAAGATGGTGGTGTTGGTTGACGGTGTTGCTGTCAATTTGCATACTTATATACTAATTAGTTAAATTAGGTGTCATGTAATGAAGTCCATCACATGTGATTGTGACCAAAACGCAAACGCAAGACAAGTGTTTTCCAATTCAACTGTATTCTTTTTTTAATGTATGAACACAATTTCTCTACGGTTTTTCAAAGTTATTTATGTCTTATTCTTTTAAATTATCATGCCTCTATTTACAAAATCGATTAGAGTCGAGAACATCTATGTTGTAGACAGTGAATATTGCTATTCGCTATATTTGACAAAAACATGATAAAATCGACAGTACCGCAAAACTTAAGCGATATGCAAAGGTATCGCTCGTTCGATAATCATTGCCTACTAACAGATCACGCTATATTTACCGCACAATACTGTAAATGTCGTAAATGTTTTATGAATTCTGCTATTCATGCGGCGTAACCTCATTTGCAAATTTGTGTTCAAGTATTGATTGATTGAATCCAAATAATTGTTACGCGTATTCTAATTAAAAAATTGCTACTACCATCTGATCTATCTCTTTGGGAATGCCTCATCTATTATAAATAAATAGAATTGGAGTGTCTGTTTGTAATGCCAAAATAGCAGCTTTTTACTAAATGCATATGAAAGTATATACGGTACTTGTTACAAAAAAAAAAAACAATTTTTAAAATTTTTGTCTGTCTTTATTCCGGATAATCTTCGAAACGGCTGGACCGATCGGACTTTCACTGGCACATAGCTGATGTTATAAAACGTAATTTAGGCTACTTTTATTTTCGAAAAAGAATTAGGTTTCCGGGCAAAACAAAAAAAAAACATGAAATCTAATCGTAATAAATTCTACGTGGATGAAGTCGCGGGGAACAGCTAAAAACCGTAAAAAGAGCATCAGTTTCTCTTCACTAAACAAAACAAAAGTTGTTACTTCAACTTGCACGCATAATGCAGGCGAGCTACTTTCCCAGTCAAGCTAACCTATTTGTGTTGCCGATAATTCAACTTACAGCGTAGCTTTACTACGTAAATTTGTTATAGTTATACATAGTAGAATAAGTTTAGATTATATATAACATTTGTAAATGTAGTTAAATGTTTGACTTTTATTCAGCACTAGCTGTGCCCGCGGCGTAGCTCGCGTATATAGATTTTACATATTTATATCATTACTGTATCAATAAGTGGTAACAAATAAATCATTATCATCAAAGTTCTAAGTAGTTTATGATAGAGCTTCTGTGTAAACGACGTTAGAAGTAGGCTTAGCCGGGGTGTACACAAAAAGGTTACGGGGGCTACTAACGCGGGAAAAAGCAACATAGAGTTGGCCATGTGCAAAACAGTCAGTACTGAGGTCCACTCTTACAACGCGTAAATTTTGACCTTGCACTTTATTTACGGTCATCGCATAACACACGCTGACTGTAACTGGGAACTGAACACGCTTAAAACTGAAGGGAAAGTTACTTCTTAATAGAGGGTTTTTTGGCAGTGCTGCCAGATCAAAAAAACTCATTCAGCGCTAGGACAACACAAAAAGCGCTAGATTTCATGAAAACAGCGCTTTAAAAAAGCCCTAGATTTTGCGCTAAATTAACTACAAACAAAGTTTGTGTTTTTTATTATAATTTATAATTCAAGAAAATATAATCATAATAAAGAAAACAACATTAAGTTTTTTTCTGGCAATATTTTTTGATGTATCAATACTTCGCAGGACATCGACTTATAATTATGGCAATTGCTGTCAACAGTAGTTAGTACTACTCTAAGTAACTTTTAACTTAGCTGTGCTCTAAACAACTGACTAAAACTGAATAAAGCAAAATAAATGCGTTGCCAAAACCATGAACGAAAACTTTAATGAAGGGGATTTCCCCGCTTATAGTCGTCGATAAAAAAAATCAAGTTGATCATCCTAAAGGGGAAGCCGGGAGATCCATAGCACAGGGTATCCTAGTTTGGACTCGTCTCCCATGCTCTTTGTTTTGTGGAAAAAATATGTTTGAAAAAGATAAACTGCAATGTACTATTTGTGGAAAAAAATAATAAAGGTCATTATTATTATTATCGGTAATGTGGACTAACAGTGCTGCTATAAAAGAGTTAATAACCCGCTAGTCGCTACAATTTTGAAATTTGTGCTAAATACACCAAAAAGCGCTGGATTAAGTGCTAGGTGCTAAAATTTCGAAATGCGCGCTATACATTCCAAAAAAGCGCTAAATCTAGTTCCCAAAGCGCTAAAATGGCGGTACTGATTTTGCGTATATTATAAATATACGCAACGACATTTCGTTGCAATTTTGTTATTTTTGTTCGGGTTCCGTTCGTCCTTCGATAGATACTAATTTCTTCAGTAAGTCTCAATACGATTCATCGGCGAAAAATCTCAACACAGCAAATCAGAAAAGTTTGTAATTTGTATAACTCCATCTATTACGTCCTTTGTGTGAGAAAACATCCTTTTTTAAATCTCTTTTTATGTTTTAAGTATAAATATATTAATTACTAGCTTTTTACCCGCGGCTTCGCTCGCGTGGTCTTCTTTTTTAGAAACATCATTAAATGTATTCCACGCCAAATTTAGTAAAGTTCGATCACTTTTAGAGTCAAGTCGGTGTCTGTGTATCTATGTCAGTATTTCAAAGATTTTTTTGTACTCCCAAAGACTATTGGACCTAGATGATTGAGGGACACGTGCAGAAATAAGTTTTTCAGAATTGCATTAATATCATATGTCTAGAAATATCTACAATTTTTTTATATTGGACCTGTCTTGCGATGTATCTATCCATAAGAAAGATAAATAGTCTTGGAATCCAAATTTACTGTTATTATTTACTCTTTACATTCATTCATAATTTATTTTTATCAAAATAATGATGAATTCATGGTCTTTTATGCGATATTTGATTCATATCTTTGTTTCCATTTAATATTGATTGGCACCATAAAATAGATTCTGATTTTTTTTCTATGTTCGAGTAAACTTCATAATTTCATAAATGCAGTTCTGATAATGATGAATACTACACATATAATAAAACAAATTGTAATAAATCACGTTACATTTTAACTTCTATTTAAGCGGGTTGTACAAAAGACATAATTGGAAGAAAGTTCCATAAAAATTTGCGTAAAACAACGTATTGCTGATGTGAAGCACCGACGCTCCGAGAAGTCTGAAAGTATGTCAACATGTTGAATATCGTCCCAACCATTATAATATCAGATCTGATAGACAATAAATAAACCCCCGCCCCCCTCTCCATGGATTCTGTATAGTGCCCGAAACGTCATCAATTATAAAAGTTAAAATTAAACACGATAAAATCCTTATGATTACTTTTATTGCAAATGAAGTTCTATTCGCAGTGAACGTAGGTAGAACTACACTCATGATCGAAAGCAGAACAATATTCGCCTTGTTATGGCGGCGAAAGAGAATCCGCCACTTCATATCGTTCCATGTGTGTCCTAAGAGGTGATAGAGGAAAACAAACAGGAGATGGGCAACATCATGTTCCTGACAACAGTTCAAAATAATAAATGCTGCGGATGTCAACCTGCCTGCCAAGCGTGGCAACTATAGCAAATATCCAGCTTATTTGACAAGTTATGGGGGAGACCTATGTTCAGTTCAGTGGACTTTTGATAGGTTGTAATGATAACGGTGATGAGTTCTATTCTTTCCAATCTTTGCTACCGTTAATATTTACGGTAGTGTGAAAACAAAAACGTAACATCTCCGAAAATATGAATGATATAAAAACAGCATAATTGCCCCCATTAAAACTAAAAAAGTAACGACCTACATACATGTCACTACTGGGCACAGGCCACAGAGCATTTGGCCAAAAAAGGTGCCAACGCTGGATCACCTCAGCTGGGGAACTTCTCAGATATTCAGGTTTTCTTTCACCGCCGAGAACGTGGTAAATCAACATTTCAAATTTAATTTAACATATATGTAAAAATATATAATAATGCTTGTCTACTATGAAATTTACCTTTGCCTTTGACAAGTAAAATTAAAATAAATCTTTGTTTAAGTAAAATCTGCTATCTTCGATATTTAAAGTATTTTTTCGCAACAGCCTGTTCATTTCCATATCTAATGTGAGCCACTACTATCACAAAAATCTTGATTTGTCTGATAATATGAAAACTCAAAAATACAAAAATCCAACAAACTGATAGCAGTTTACATACGTCTCACTACTGTGCACACGGCTCCCCTTTACCTATAGTGTTTGTGAGCAGAAAAGAGTATGCCGCAATTCTTCAACTACTACTTCGACATTTAGGTTTGCCCACGAAGTTATTCTTCACCACTTCACTGGGTATATAGTAAGTCAGCACGTAAAATTTCCCATAACAGATTTATTTGTCCTCACAGGACTCGTACACGTTTTGCTCCCTAGCCGTGATGAAATCTCACGGCGAGCTACACGGCTCTCGTATTTGTTTAAATAAAATTCATAAAAACTGAAACAAAGCTTTTGTACCATCGTTGGCCATATTTACCGAGTAATTAGAAACCCAACGATGCCACGAACTATTCCATCAAATAGAGATAAAATCACGCAGTGCACTAAATTCATTTTACCTATGAAGTAGGTAAAATGAAATCTATGCCTACAGACAAACAATATATTGAACTAAAGAGCTTCTCTCCTAATCTCAGTTTTGTGTACAACAGTGTTGTTAGCCATTTTGCCAAACGTGGTTATTGCGATAAATAATCCCGATAATGACCACCGGTCTAGATATTTGTAAGTGTGACAATTTTTGATGCTGCACGAAAAAGTATTCAGTAGCATTTTAAAATTTAATTGTATCAGTTACTTATCATTAGTTTATTTAGAGAAAGTAGAGGGCGCTATATTACATTAATACTATGAAAATCAAAACTATACTATCTAGTAATATCGGCTATAGAAGAAAGAAGGCTCAAGAGCCAACCCCAAAGCCGACACTTTATGCCTTTTTTATATAATAAATAAATGTTCCCGACATTTATTTATTATATAAAAAAGGCATAAAGTGATATTGATTCTGTTAAAAATCTGTTTCCGTTAAGAAACACGCTATCAGCGCCGCTAGCGGTGAACAACTTTGAGAATTTGACGATATGAAGATATTGTCATGAATCATTAAATAGCAATATTGTGTTAAGTTAGTGATATCCTTAAACGATCTCTATTCTTTGTTTGGCTAAGCTATATTAAGACATGGTCAACAAACAGTGATAAAAAATATCATGAAATGACACCATTTCACGAAATAATGATTTCAGGAGAATTTTGCAATAATTGCATTCAGACCTGTTTTAATCAGTTTACATACAGATATAGTATTAAACGTATGAAAATTGATATGTTTTTTAGTTCAAAAAAATATAAATGTTTATACGTTTAATAGATGATGTCATGATGTTTTTAGACAATAGATGTCGCTTTTATCTATTATTTTTTAAATTTTAATTATTGCACTTTTAAAATGAAATAACGATTAAATTAAGTCTTAGGATTTTAAAATAATTTTATTAATGTAATTATTTAAACATATAAATGTAAGTTATTTATTTAATTTATTAGTTACTAAAGGCAAAATGTAGGCTTTTTTCATTTGATGATAGATGGCGCTGTATTGATAATTAAAACGTATATCGTCAGCGGAGTTTCAAATTGTTATGCAAAGGTTAAAACTAATTTTAAACTTAATTTACAAATATAATATTTCTTTTAAAAACACCCGTCATCCCGCCAATTAACTAAAATAATCATATATAATAGAAAATTAACATCTAAAGGAAGAAAAATACTTTACCTTCTTTTTTAAGTTTCGTAATCGGATAAAAAGTAGCCTATAAGTTGCCCCGGGGTACTAACTACCTACATATAAAATTTTATGGAAATTGTTCCAGTAGTTTTGGCGTGAATCGGTAATACACAGACAGACAGACAGACAGACAGACAGACAGACAGACAAAAATTCTAAAAACCACTAATTTAGCTTCAGCACACTTTATTTAGTACCCTGGACTTGTTTTTTCAAAAATGTGTTACAATTACAGACATGGCTTTTCTACAGATTTATTATATGTATAGATTATGGAACGTTTTTTTTACACACAAATCTTTTTATTACTATTTTTGTGATTTTTATGGCGCCATTGAACAAATTCGAACCTACATTTTAAAATAATAATCATTACTTTCGATAGAATTAACCAATTTTAATAAAACAAAGACTAAATGTAACTTGAAGATACGCTTTATGATTTTCTTAACGATTTCTTTGAAAAAAAAAAGATGTTTACTTTAGACGTGATGCATTCATATAAAAACAGACAAACAGACAGACAGACAATTCTAAAAATTATAAAAATGTACTTATTTAATTATTTTTAGTTCCCCATAATGATTTTAGTCACCAAAATAAATATACAATGTACAGAAAGAGACACAACATGTTATCATCATTTTTATTATATGTATATATTTAATTGAAGAGAGATGGCGCTGCTAACATCAACTTGATGACTCAAACAAAGCCACCGTTGAGCAAATTCCCTACCCATACTTCAGAATATTTATCATAACTTTTGATGGAATGAACCGATTTTAATGAAATAAAGACTAAATGTAACCCGAAGATACACTTTATAATTTCCTTAACAATTCTTATGATATAAATTAGTACTTTAAACGTGATACGTTAACAAACAAACAGACAGACAGACAGACAGACAGACAGACAGACAGACAGACAGACAGAAAATTCTAAAAATGGTAGAAATGTATTTAATTACTTATTTTTAGTACCCCTCAATCACTTTTATTACAAAAATATAAAATGTACAGACATCTGCTATTTACAGTTTTATTATATGTATAGATTTCGCATATTCAACTCTTATAACACAAGAGAATGAAATGGAATGGATGGATTTCCATTTCCATGTTTAGTTGTGCAGTGGCTTATCGGTTGGTTGGGGCGCTACAGGCCCACGAAACTTAAAGATATTTATTTACCAATGTTTTTATAATTTTAAAACATCAACTGATCAAGGCCATTGTCCATATGTTTATTTTTTAAGTGAAATGCATATTTTCTTTCTTTAAAAAGGGTGGGTACATGCCTTCGAAGCTAGGATAGGTCATTAGGATTACTACAAAGTATAGGTAGGTACATGAACACAACACCACTACCATGATTTCTGTGATTGTTAATAGATGATCTTACCAGTAAATTTTCGGGTTTGATGTCACGATGCACAATAGAAAGTGAGTGCAGATATGCAATAGCTGATGTTAGGTGACCAATTAGCAAACGCGCTTGAGGCTCTGAGAATTTACATACAGCTGCAATACTATCGAATAAATCTCCACCTAAAAATGGTAAACAATAGTAATATTTTTATTTGGTATGTATGCAACACAGAAATATATAAATTACTTTTCTTGATAAGGTTAAGTGATTTAGTTTTTATTTTGTTACAGTATTTATCAGTCATAATAAAATTTCATGAATTACTTATGATGATGATGATACAATGCAGTTGTACAGTTCTAATACATTGATTAATACTACAATATTAGTCCTACAATATGATATGAATATATTAGAAAATTATTGAACCATACATACCACTAACTAGTTCCATAATGAGGAACAACCACTCTGGGCAGTCTTGTTCCTCTATAAGGGATACAATGCGTGGATGGCATAGCTTTCTCATTACGCGCACCTGAATGTAAAGTGGTTTTCATGATTAATATTGTAAACTTATAAACTATGCTTATTTGAATTTTAATTTAATTTAATGCATACCTCTGCTTCCACATAGTGCTCTTTGCCTTTGCACTTTGCTTTGTCAATTATTTTGAGAGCGTATTCCTTGCTAGTGTTCTTGTCCTTACATATTCGTACAACAGCAAAGTTGCCGTCACCTGGTTATTATAACAAAAAGTGTCAATAAAATGTGTCAAATATATGTGTTGTTGTTTGTTTATATGTTTGTACAGAATGCACGTACCGATGATTTTGCCGACGGTGTACTTGAGGCGCAGCGGGTGCGGCAGCAGCTGCGCGGCGGCCGGCTCGGCGTCGCCGCGCGCCGCGCCGCTCGCCGCCGCGCCGCTCGCCTTCACCGGCATGCGCGGCTTCGGACCCGACCTTTTTTAAATATAGCATAAGGTTGACAAACGACCACACGGTGCACCTGATGGTAAATTGATGCTGTGGCCCATCTATGCGGGACATCCACATCTATCCTCGGTTAAGAATCAAAATGCAGATGCGTTGTCAGCCTGAGGACTAAGGTGGAATCGTTGTGGCCTCGTTTCCATTTAAAAAGGGTCTCCGGCTCTTAGAAGTTATTTTACTATTGTATTCTGTGAGAGCGTGGGCCCGTCCCGGTTAAGCTGTCTCATTCGTGCTACAACTGTGGCTCTACCCCATAACATACTGTACAACCCGCGCACACACCACCTAATCACTCCTTGTTTCTAGCGTTGGCTACTTGACACTAGTCGATTGAAATACTTTTAAACATAAGCATTCCTTTGGAACTTGTCATAATCATCTTTTACCAAGTTAAAAGACACTATGTTTAGTAGCAAATTTAAATTATATATAATGTAGCATTTGAAGACAGTGTCAACTACACAGTTACGGTTTTACTCATAAGCTCATAAACCGTTGATTATAGTCACTTACTAGCTGTTCGCGCGACTTCGCCCGCGTGAAATTTATTACGATTGGATTTGGGATTGGACCCATGAAAGGTTTAAATTTTTTGCGCGGTACCCTAATTCTTTTACTAAAATAAAAGTAGCCTAAGTTACTCCTTATAAAATCTGCTATCTTTAAGTGAAAGTCCCGTCAAAATCGGTTCAGCCATTTCGGAGATTCGCCGGAACAAACAGACAGACAAAAATTTTAAAAATTGTTTTTTGTTATAATTACCGTTTATACTTTCATATGTATTTGGTAATAAGTTGTTATTTTGACCTTACAAACAGACACTTCAATTTTGTTTAATTGTATAGATGTATAGACTTAAATTAAGTAGGTATTAATTATTTATTTAAACAATGGGAGGTTAAAAATTTCGCGGAATGAAAGGGAAAGGGGGTGTCATTAATCATGAAATTATTTTTACTTTTCGATTTTATTCTACACTAGCTGATACCCGCGCCTTTGTCCGCGTTGCTTGATATATTAACAGTTTTCGTATGTAAAATATATAAATTATATGGGCTAGTAACGCGAGAGCAAACGACGTACAGTTGACCGTATAGAAAACCCCGTATAAAAATCGTTGTATCTTAAAGCTTTAATAACTTTATATTAAATGAAGATATCGCAATATTTTTTTTTAGATAAGGGCCAAATGTCTAAGAAACCAAACTTAGAAAACTTAATTGAAATCTATTCCGTAGTTTTTCCGTGATGCGCGCACAACTGCAAACCTCTATCATTTTATTTATATAGATTCACCCGTACATACACTTCTCAGAGCGTTCAAATAAGTTATTTATACCTTCAAAAAAATTGTTTTGTCAAGATCCACAAAATAGACAGAAATTGCAGACTTCACTTCTTTAACTGTAAATTTCTTTCTCCGAAGCTCCTTTTTTATATTTGGGATCAAATAATAATCCGAACGGGTCGAAGTTTCGAAGCCATCGCAACATGACTTTTCTGAACGTGTGCGTTATCGTACAAAAGGTGCACACCTCGAGACGACCTTCCCCTTCTTTTTTCTTTAATCACGTCTTTTAATTTTTTTAGTAGCGTAATAATGTCCCGTGATATTGACCTTTATCTTTATAATCGATCAATAAAATCCCCTCTGAATCCCAAAAAACTGAAGCCATAATCTTCCCAGCCAATTGTGACACCTTGAACTTCTTAGGCCGTGCTGCGCCTTTTCCAAGAGTCCAAGAGAGTCCAAGCAAGAGCTACGACTCAGGTTCATAGTGATGAACCCAATCACAATTCGGTTCATAATTTCGTACCTGTTCTCACTACATAGGTCCAAAAACTCGCGCGAAGCTGTTGCAGCTGTTTCTGAAACGGTGTGAGTATTCTTGTCAACCATCTTACATTGACCTTTAGACATGCCAAGATGGTTATGGAGAATGTTTAAAACGGTCTTACATGATACTCTAGTCATTTCTGCGATCTGTTTTTCCTTCAGACATCATCAATCATTCAAGCATCTTCAAAAAAAAATTCAACTTTTTCGACAATGTCTGAGGAAGTTGCCTCAATCTGTCGGTCTGAGCGCCGACCGTCCTCAATAGAAAAGGCTGTATTACTTTTAAAATCATCACTTTTTCGGGGCAAGAGTCCCCGTAAACAGATGACATCTCTGCCATAATGATATATGGCGTTTTTCTTGCTAAGTGAGGAACTTAATCACAGCACGGAGCTTAATTTTCTCCATAGTTAGTGTTCACTTCTCGATTGACTTGTTTATCCTGTGATATCTCAAAGGTTAACGAACCGATCTGGCTGATACTTGGTATTTTTACTTGTATTGAAACACCAAGTAGTGATAGTAAAAAAAATCCCCCGTCCCCTCTCTAACCCCTCTATTCCGCAAACTTTTTGACCCACCCTCGTACCTGCCTCTTTCTATTATTATTTGGTAAAAAAAACGTTTTATTGATAGCCGTAGCGCCACAATTTTCGTGATTTCAGTTTAGTTGCTTAATTCCATTCTTTACATTTGAATTCGCATTATTTTTCACAGGATTTCTTTATTGGAACAGTCTAGTTTTAGCTCATGGATGTAAAAATATATAAAATTATTTTACGAACAAAATGCGTGAAGGACACTAGTTCCTACAATTTTGTTTGTCATATGCGAGATACACACACACAAATACATCAAAATCCGCCAATCGGCACCATTACGATTTTGTTGGAAATTGTTAACCAAATTGTCGTCAATTTTTTCAAGGGAAATTTTTCGCGAAAGTGGGGAAGTATAACTGTGTAAACATAATACATATTGTATTAAATTATATAATTGTATTATAATATAGGTATAGTACCGTTAGTAGAACTGAACGTAACATATCTTCCAATGTGCGTGTAGCTGACTTTTTTTGATTATTAATAAACTCATTTGCATAAAACGAGCAGTTTTAATCATTTGTACATGTTACTGGCCGGTTATAAAAATACTGCGGTGTTTAAAAAAAAGTAGGTTCCAATTTTAAAATTTTGGCCTGAAACTGGTTTTTAACTTTTCAACCAACTTCAAAAAGGAAGAGAGGTTTACAATTCTTCGTTCGTCTTTTTTTTAAATGTATGTACATCGATTAATCGAAGACGCCTGAACCGATTTGGAAAATTCTTTTTTAATGCAACTGCTCAAAAAGTGGCGTATTGCAGGGGCGTATTGCAGGGACGTATAGCGTTCGTGATGTGGGTTATTACATACTCGAGCTTTTTCTTTACCTTTTCCGAACTCGTGCGTTCTCTTTCCCGTCAAAATAATGTCTATTAAAAAGAAAAACCAACCACGAAGTTTTAACTAAAAAAAATTCATAGAAGTTTTTATAAATATATGAATCAGCGGTCCCAAAAAGCAAAAACCGACCGTTTTTTTCCAAAATTATCAAAAAGGGAAGTGTACAGCTCAAGCAATCGGGATAAACAAATTTGGTAATATGCCAAAAGAAATAGCTACGTTTCTTGGTCTGCCGGATGCTGAGTATTATACTGGGTACAGCTTCAGGAGGACCTCTGCTACATTATTGGCAGATTCAGGAGCCAATTTGAAGTCCTTAAAGCGACTAGGAGGTTGGAAGTCAGACAAAGTTGCAGAGGGATATATTGCTGATTCATTAAACAAGAAACTAGAAACTGGGAAAAAATCACACAATCCATTAATTTAAAGTCCAGTTCGTCTCCTTCACATGACAATACTGAAGAGAACGTTCGTCCATCTACCTTCGTTGACAATGATAATTCATCAGATCCAATTCCATCAACTAGCAAACGCCATTGTATAACACCTTTGACAAATATACATGAACAATCATACGAAATTAATAATAGTTTGTCTCAAACAGTAAATATGCAACCTAAAACTTCCCCAGTTAGTATAAAAAACTGTACCAATTTCAATGCATATGTGAATTATAACTTTTATAAGAAATAAATGATTAGTTTTGAGTTTACTGTGTTTTTATTATTTTATTAAATTGTTTCATTTTTCGCAACTATATTAAAAACTGTTGTTCAGTACTCGTGCGAAACCTTTGCCGAAATTTGCCGGAACTCTTTGCAATGACAGGCTTTCCGCACTCGTAATGAAATATACTTACTATTTTTGCTTCAAAGGGTATATTTCCCAGGTGGTCCCTTTTAAATTTTATCGATATCAGTTGACCGGTTTTAAAAAACTCAACAATAAATTATATTTATATTGAAGTCGGTTGTACAAAATTTTTAATTTTACCACTTGTTACTACATTTTGTGGAATTCCCGTAAGTTAATATCGAGTCTAAATAACTTTTAGTCCATTTTTATTGAATTAATAAATTTCTCTGACATAAGGTATTGTTATTGCTGTTTAGCGGTTTCTAAAATGGTAGATAAATTGATAAAAGCCTCCTTTTAAGAGAGTTGCAGCCAATGTTTCGTGGCTTAGAGGTTAAATGTGGGTCGTTCGACAGTCCAAAGGACCTGGCAGCGCTACAAAGAGAACGGTTCCATCAAGAGAAGGCCTGGTTCTGAAAAAAGTCACAGACCGAATCACACAGTCAAGCATTGAGAAATCGCAAATCTTCGTGTGCACCTCAAGAAAAAACTCGAAGTAAGAAACGTGCAAATTAGTCCATCGGCGGTCAAAAGTAGGCTTCTCGTTGCCACGCGCCCACCGGTCTGGCTATGTGGAAGGGTATATGCTAGAGGTCGGAATTAGTTGTTTGGATTTGCCATCTCGAAGTCCCGAGCTAAATCCCTTAGAGCTTAGAGCATGTCTGGGACGTTCTAAAGCGTCGAGTGAGATTAGTGCTGTGGGGTCCGCAAACCATCAGAGGGGCTAAAGAATGCGATTACCACGGAGTAGGGACGTATTTCGCAAGAAAACATATGATATATACTTGCTAGCATGCCAAGACGAATGCAAGCTGTGTGTTACTTTATTAAAGAAAAAAAAACCATAAAAACGTGTTTTATTTTTACTATGCGAGCAGGTACACTACTTGCGCTTTGAACTTTAACACGATAAATATAATTAATTTATTCAAAATGTTATGATAAAATTGACGAAAACTATTCCTTGCTAATTAGTTTACAAAAGTCTGTGTGTGGACGCCACTTTTGCACCACCTGCTATCGCTTATGTGATTCGTTAATTATTATCCAATAAGAGTACTGCAAAGCGTCCATTTCCGGGTTTCCTATCTACCGCCTTTTATGCCTTTAGCATGCGCACTCTTGTGTTAACGGAGTTCTCAGAAGACATACAAGCAACTGCTTCTATATCACGCCATCGAACCCGCCTTTGTGTAATTTCGATTTTAAACTATACAAAACTATCATAAAGTGTATAGACATTAACAAATAACGCTATATTTCGCGATTATCTGTGAAGTTTGAAAGAAGCCGGCGCCGAATCATTGTAGCTGCAGCCCTTACGACACCAGGTAGATCAACAGAAGTCTAGGTAAGTGCGCATGCATTCCTTCACGTTCTTCCTGTAGCCCAAATTTAGGGCATTTGCAGTATCCCGAAATAGTAAAACCTCACCGCCGTTCGCACCGCACCCTATAATACAGTCCTGCTATTTATTTTAATAAATTAGAACCAACTGCGGTCATTTAAACCAAACACACCATTTTTTAGCCCTTCTCGCCGAATTATAACTAATTAATTAGCCACTGTGTATAATACTACCTCAAATTATCAAACAATGTAATAGTATCAATAAAATTGGTTCTTTGCTTATGTGTCGTGCTCGTTATTTTTGCAAAGAGTTTATATTATTAAAGTATAATTACATTATAACCCCGTTTCATTAAACATTTTTTTCACAATGTAAGTTTTTTAAACAGTAGTAACATTTCATTAAACAGTATTTTTACCTGGAATTTTTAGTAATTGGGTTTTTTCTGCACTGCAAAACTGCTTTGCTTTCTTCAAATTCTAACTCAAAGTCTTCTTGATTAACTCTGCAAAATATTGTTACAATAAATATTAGGCTTGGGAAAGTTTCCTCGTATTTTGTTAGTATAAAATTGAAAAAAAAAATCTCTTTGGTTGTACGGTTTGTATCTGGCTGGTTTTAATATCAACACATTACGACATTAAGAAAAATAAAAACTAAAAACACTTTCCCGCCATTTTTCAATTGTTTTTCTGTTCACCAAAATTAGTGAATCTAAAACATTTTAAAGTTTTTCCAATAAATCCTATTTTATAACTATAAAGCTTAATTTTGTTTGAAATAAATTACTCATTATAGCAATTTTCTTATTATATGATGATAAATTTAATTACCTTTCACTTCCATAAGCAAAGAATACATCTTCATCTTCAAAGAACTGGTGCAGAGCTGTGACAGGGGTACCAGATTGAGTGAACACTTTGCGTACACAGCCAGTATCAAGCTTGATGCACTCTGTTATTGCAGCTAGAGCATGCTCCAGAGTGGGACTGTTACGTTTGTTCAGTAGCAATCTACATACCTAAAATAGAAATCAAATCACAGCCTTATTTACAGTTGTTTGCATAGAAAAAAAAAATAAGTTTAGTAGAGGACATAAAGGTGAAATCGGTGACTCAAGTCAAGCACAGGGGTTAAAAACGCTTCGAAAATGTGATATTATTGCTTTGAAGTAGATGACATTGTGATTTCATTGTGGTCTGTTTACTTTCCTTACATAATTTGTTACAAATTGAATATTTTGGAAGTTAATGATTAGATTATTTATTGTTAGTCTGCCTTCTTACGTATCTTCTGTTCTAAAATCTTATTTCTAAATATAAAAATCGTATGTATTCCTCAAATGATAATATACCCCGTCCCGGCAGTTGTCGACTTCCGAGATACGCAGTCAGACGCTGGAGTAAATTGTCATTAAAGTCGGTGTGCTACGTATGTATCCCGCGCGAGCCTTCTACATAGCGTTCGTGGAAGCTTTTTTATTTAGTGTACTAATTATAAAATTAAGGTAAATATGATATAATTCTTGTAACAAATGATTGAATGTCTTGTTTGTATTTATGGATATTTCATGTATATTTATTATATTTTCATATTTTTCAGAAGGTGGACAAATACAAAGATGGCTGCTAGAGGATAACGTTTTGAGTGACCGTGAGGAGAAAGGAGAGTTTGCCGTACGAAGTGTCGGCGAACAGCAAAGATCTCACCAGTTTGATATGGAAGAAGAAGGCGAAGAGGATGATACTGAAGTTATTCCTCTGTCAGGCTTAGCTTCCTATCAGTCTCAGGTAGAAGATGAGGTTAGTTTACACTGCCTACTTAGAAAAAGATCTCGTAATATTTTAGCCCATACACCAGGCCCGCTAGGTATGGGAAAGGTTGGCAAAACGACTTATAGCATTCCTGCAATTTTTCGATGCTGATGTTTGGAACGTTTTCGTTGATTCGACAAACATTTATATTGTTTATATTGCTACCATTACCCGATGATATTGTGATGATACCATTGCCCGAACAACCTGTGCAATATAATATTTCTGTTAAAGGAAGCGTTGGTCGTTGCTTTATTTGCAGCAGGGCCCGCGATCACAGTACGCGCAAACAATGCAGCATATGTATGCGACGCATTAGAAGCATTCATCTGGCAGTCATGTGTCCTGAATGCGTAGCAAGCAATTACTTTTGGCTTGAGTTGAACTTGGCAAACTATGGAAGTATCATTTGAACACGACTTTGAGTACTGACTGAAATCAGAGTCCAAACTCTAATAAGAAAGATCAGAGCAAACTCATAACATTGTCTCTGAATAAAGGCCCAAGATGTGTTCTCAAGAAATGTTATTGTCGCAGATGTAAAAGCCATGGCCAATATTGTCCACTGTGTTAATATATAGAAGAAACAGGATTACTATCCTAACTACTGTTAGCAAGTAGTCTCAGAATTTCCAGACTTCGAGTCGGAGCACCGTCGATTACGACCTCGATGCTCCGATCTGCAAGAAAACTTCTGAACAAACCTGACCCAAGGCTCTCACTATTTCGAAATTCACCGCCAGTCTCTTTTTTCTTTTGATTACTGCCTTTGGTCATCTACAAGTCTGGTAAACTAAATAATCACCTTCAGGCAAACGAGATGGAGATTGTATTTATTTGGAACTTCATGAAGATGAAAAGTTTTTGAATAAAAATGCAAATGTGTATTTTATTAAATTAATATAAAAGTTAATTTTTTTAAATTCCCCTACCTAAATAATTGTTCATCCTGAGCAACTAAAAAATCCTCTACTGCAGTTACTACTTCTTTATCATCTCTTTATCAAATTTCTGTTCTCTCAGATAATTCTTCAATCATGGAAATAGATAGAAATCACGTTGTGCAAGGGCTGGTGAATACAGAAGATGTTTAAGTATTTCAAAGACAATATCTCGATCTGCAGCCATTGAAACGGCGGACTTGTGTCCTGGGGTAATTTCTTCATAAAACTAAATAATCTTTGAGAGCTTGCCTTGTAGTTTCTCGCGAATATAATCACACAATATGTTTAATTATTCTGCATACGGGCACTTTGCTCGTAACAGTAGATTAAGATATTCAATTCATAACTATACCTTTTTATCACTAGGTATAAAAATAAAATAAAGATAAAGATGAAAATTAAAAAGACATGATATAATCCGTAAAATTAGTTTCATTTATGGATCATCTTTGATGGATGTTCTACATTTTAATTAGGCATTTTAATGAAATGTCGTAAATGACTTAGCACTACCATAAAACAGACAAAAAAAGTGTGTTATTGGTTCAATCTCTTTCTTTAGGGAAATTTCGACTCATAAATGTAACTCATGACTGCCTGAAGAGTATCCATCTCAAACTACGGTTAAGCTAGTGTCAGTTGTCAGACACAAAATAAAGAAGCTGACAAATGGGTGCCTCAAAAATAGAGTGATGCATAGCGAGAGGCCTGCATTCAGGCTAGTATCATATTGCTGAATCGGAATAGAAAAGAGGTAATTTTATATTTAATAGCAACCTGCTATGAGAAATGAATCCTATATGACAGTCGTAAGCATTCATCACAGTAGCTGTATCCAGGTACTCTTACCAAACAATGATCGAATAGAAAGTTTAACCAAAAGAAACTTATGCTTATGGCAGAATGTCTGGTAACATTGGTGCCATAGTAATGGCCATTATTGTTAAGAATTGCAAATGATGCTGGAGAAGCTGGCACTCAAGCAATCTAGCTTGGTGATAATAGACATTGGCAAAATTAGCAGTGTTAAAGCTAGTGACCCTACCTCATCCATAATAGACTTTTATTTTGTTTTGAAATTTAGATAATTTTATGATGGGCAAAAATTTTCATTTTTGAAAAAATATTAATGAGGCAGTAAAAACATCTGTCCGACTTCTGATGAAGCAGACTTCTATAACAAGAGCATTAGCAAACTGTCCATAAAATGACAAAGAATATGTTAATAGTTTTGACAAATATTTTGATTAATTTGTTTTTTTAATTCCAATTTTCTAATACAATACAGCAATTTAACAGGTAAAGAGCTAACATTTTGTGAAGGTGAATTAAAATGTCATAATATTAATCTGTTCAGTTATTATTTTATGTCAAATAACCAACCTTTCTGGGTTTAACTCCATTTCTAATAATAGTAACTATGCGTGGCCGAACTACATTGTCCCCAGCAGGACTGACTCTTGCTGTCCCATTACCAGTTGCATTACTGCTACCATTTGTCTAAAAAGCAATATAAATATAAAAATTAATAAATCACTTTGAGTTTTAAATTAATAATAACTTAAAAAATATGTAAAAACAAATAATAAAAAACAGAAAAAAAAATTATCATTAATTACAGCTACAGCTGAACAGTTCAGTGCTGAACATAAGACATCTAAAAAATGCCACAAAGAATGACATTTGCCATTATTGTCATGCTTACCTCTTATGACACCCATGGGATGATATGGGGTAGTCATTTGTCTGACATTGCCACTTCATGGCAAAAGAAGAATAAATACTATAATTATATAGCTGCTGAAATTGGGCATTTGGAATCTTAATTCTTTTTTTAAATTTGGGTCAAAGATGGGGTTAACATAACATAAAATAAATTCTCATCCCTGTCACCAGAGGTGTAGTCTTGAAAAATCATAATACATATATAAATCATGAACAGATGATTATAGAATATATTAATATAAATAAATAATATTAGTAGTGGATATTCTTTAACTGTATAGTGGCGGTGTAAGAATATCGACTACCCCATATAATCACGTGGTTGTAGTATGAGGCAACAGAGGGAAACTGAAACAAAAGAGAGAGCATCTCCCAGGTAATAACTCAAAAAATTAAAAACTGTGGTTGCCAACCAACATGCCAAGTGTGGCAACTATGACAAAATCTCCCCTATGTGAGAATCTATAATAATAATAATAATAATAATCTTTATTTGCGTAAAACATGGTATATATGTTGTTCACAGGTAAAAATCGAGCGCTCATGTTTTGCTTATTTTACATAGCATGCAAATATATTTAAATAATGTCAAATTTTCTTTAACTATTTGAAGTACATTAGTCACCTGATTTAGTTAACAAAGAGAAATAATATTATAATAATTAATTACATGTCAATTTCAATACCTAATAATAGTCGCACAGCTTAATCAAAGATATATTGTACAATACTATATTTTATTATTTTATATTTATTACAATAATTAAATGATTTTTTTTAAATAAATTTTATCCAGTACATAATCTAATTTTTTTCTAAGAATTGTTTTACACTATAGAAATTATTTTCATTCAGCCATTTGTACAATTTCTTTTTGAACAATGTAATATTTAGGGTTTTAAGTTCGTCAGGGAGCTTGTTATATATTCGGACACACATGGTAAGGCAACTTTTGCCATATTTTTGTGATTTAGGTATATCCTTAAGTACTAGCTTGTGTGGGTCCCTACGTGAGCGAGTAGTCTGTACCTCACAAGCTTTTTCAAATAATTGTTTGTGTCTCTGCACAAAAACACAAACTTCTAAAATATATATAGGGGAGGCATATGTTCAGCAGTGGACTTTTATAGGTTTTAATGGATGGATGAAATAAAAAATATAAAATTCACACCTTTGTAGTATGGGATAATATATATAAATATAAATAATATAATATAACTTGGAAGACTAACCTAACAGTCTATCTGGATAAGTACCACCCTTTAACCTATGACTGCCTCCAATGCACTGTGAATGCTGTATACTGATGTAAAGGGTATAGGGCACCACCATAACTACATGCTATGAGGCATTCCATCTAGATCCTCAGATGTGACAACACATCTGTAGCTCTCATTTTTTAAAGTTTGTTAGGTGGACTTGTTTTGTTGTACTTAAATACTATTAAAATTATACCTAACTAAAGACCAATAATCAATTATATTAATCAACTATAAATATTGTCATAGAGAGCCATAGTTGCTAAGGTGTTGCTTAAAATTATCTTTTCACAATCAGAAGCTTATTGCATAAAAATAAAATAAATCATTACATACTTGTAAGTAACGGGACAGCCTATTGTTAGCTCTTGCTGGTGATGGACTTGCACTATCATTTAAGGCTTCAGGACCACTAAGTCTAAAAGATTGTGGTGTAACAGCACTAGCTTCATAATCTAAGCGTTTGAAAGGTTCACCAACGCCACTACATACATATGACTGCCCATCTTCCAGGTCGTCTAATTTTCCTATCTGTAAGAAGCATATTAGTTATTCTTACCAAAACATAAATGTAAACAAAAATATTTTTATACTTACTTTTCTACCCTCAAGTGAATAAATTGTCCTTACACCACTTGGTAAAGTAACATTATCAACAAGCACCCTAGTCAAATCTGCAGTCAAACTATCAAAAGATCTGAAATATTAAAAGAAACCAATAATTTAGGTAGTTTATTTCTTCATACAAAAATCAAAATATAAATAACATATTTTTATTACCCAGTTTTAATTTCATTATGAAATTAATGACAAAATGTTTTATCAGTCATTATTATATGCATAAATAAACAATAATTTCTGTGATAGTATTAAATTCCAAAAAACAAAGCAGACACCAAAAGCAATTAAATTTTAGTTAAAAAATGACCAATAAATGTAAAATATTGTGTAAAAATATTTTAATAGGTCATAGTTACAAAAAAAAAAATATTGCACTCTTAACAGTTACAGCTGTTGTGTATAGGTTGTTTTAAAATAATTCTAACGAAGTGAAAGTTACAATCAATTCGTAATTGATCTGAATCAAATCAAATGTATCGTACCTATAGCGTTCTGGCAAAACTGGAATTGTTACTCCTGAATAAAATTTGTCACCGTTTCGAAAAAATCTTATTCGTTTTGCTTTTCGTGCTGAACCCACTGAGTTACGTGGATTCGTCCTAGATTTCATTATTTTCATATCGCTAAGATCCTTTTCGAGCTCACATACTGAACTCGATCGGCTCCCACTTCGACTTAGATTGTTCTCCATTCTATATTAGAAAGTTAAAACAGTTTAGAATTTTTGTCGAAGGATTGTTCCATTTTTTGAAGACTAATTCATTAGACCTCACCCTTTTTTCTTGGTCCGTTTCAGTAGACGTTTATATACCTATTTAATAGAAAAACATCACTTAATCGAGTCTCATTCTTTGTGTTTCGTAGGAAAGCTGATTTAACAAAAATTAATTGGAGTCTAATTGCGATCCTGTTTCTTGAAACACACGGAAATCCACAGACAGAACTATACTACATTATCTATGGATAGAAAAATATATTACAAACCTGCGGATTCTGCGGAAATCATACCATAGATTTTTTTTTTTGGAAATTAACTCGTATAGTTGTACTTCTGCCAGTATCAAGTTATAGAAAATTAATTTGTATAAAAACATCTTTACTATAGTTGATACCTACGTCAACAGCAGCTTAAAGATAATCGCCAACAGATAATCGATGACAATAATACAAAGCAGACAAAAAACTTTTTACACTGGTTTTCATTAAAAGTTCACATACGCGGACATTAATACACAAAATCGTATGTCTTTTACATATAAAATGCATTTCAAACCAATAATTAAGGATTTAAACAATAATACAAAAGCAACAATTCACTAGCAATTAAATTCCCGCCAAAACATGTTTTCAAACTTTAAAAAATTGCTGCTAATATAAAAAAAAACACTAATATCACTATTATGACTCGCCAAGGAGACTCAAAAATATCCGAGAGACGTTAATATGAGTAAAGTGCGTCTAGTGTCTAGCAGTCTCGTTCACGTAGTGCTCACCTGATGTTAGACTGTTTCACAGTTTTTTGTCCGCTTTAAGGAAGTTCTTGGGCGAGAAAAGAAAATACTATTCCATTCTTGTTCGGTTTCAGTGTAACATAAGAAATAAAGTGACAAAACTTATTTTATTTTGTTAAATTTGCGTCAACCACCATCGTCAGCATATTTTTATTTTCTTAATTTGATTTTATATTTTGACATTAACGAGATTATAGTTTACTAATACATACAATGCTAAAGCCACTGCCTTAAATATTTCTATAGATATGGATACGAACGAGATCACTATTGAGAACATACTGTGAGTATAGCTTTGTTCTCACGTTCGCAAGATATCTTCCCGGCGTGAGTCTGGTGGGTCTATCCGCTATCGTCCATTTTAAAGCATAAATCAAAGACTTCTGTTTATAGTACTAGATCGACAATTCAGAAAAAAGAATTGTGTCACAGCTGTGGATCGTGAGGGCTGCCACCCAGAGGGGGCATAGCTGGCATGGAAAATATATTACGCAGTTGAATTTTCATTTACGACAGTACCTAGCTGTTTTTAGGCAAATATGAAATATAGTTACATACTTATCGGAAATAAACTTCAAATCCATAGAGCAACACGGGCCACCGGCAGATCGGAAGGGTGTAGCGAGCGTATACGCGGGGTATACGCAGGGTATACGCGGGCGTTTCCATCTGTCAAAGTATAAGTTCACGCGGTCAATAAATGCGTATAATAAAATTAGTAGCAGCCGCATTGCTCAGTGCTCACTAAACTAAATCTAGTTGCGTGGCTGAATCGAGGTCTTACAAAAACGTTCACCTTTTTTTGCTCCAAAAAGAGTTTATTTTTTATTTGTTATACGAGGTTTCGGAGTGACAGATAATAGTTTTTGTGTGCGCATATTTCTCCTCGCAAAACGAATAGATAGTTCTGTATTGGAGAAAAACCTGCGCTAGCACTTTCCTCCCCTCCCCTCCATTACGTTCCGCCGGTGGCCGGTGTGCTCCATGGTTTTTTGTGTTTTATCCTAGTAAGTTCTTATTCTTATGTTATATATATTGTACTCTACTAATATTAAAAACTTGCTTCCCGCGGTACTATAAATCATCGGTGCGCTAGGGACAGACGCGTGCGGTGCGTCCTGTAATATACACATCGGCACGATAGTGGTGCGTCACTATGCCTGCTGTAAGGCCCACTATAAGGCCGGCACATACATACGGAATTCCGTTTCGAGATTCCGTTTGGGAATTCCGAACGGGTCGGCAACACACATACGGAATCCCGCTTTGCCCGCAAAATTTCGAACGGAAAACTACCGTACGTGTGTGACGGGTTATATATTTTATATGAATTTGCTGCGTTCGGAATCTCGAATCGGAATATCGTAACGTAATCCCGAAACGGCATTCCGTATGTATGTGGCGGGCTTAAGTAAGCGTAAAGGGCTTATTACATTATTCAATTTTTAGGAAATCTAATTAGGAACCTAAGTTGGAAGCTAGTGATCACATTACACTAAATTGAATTCTAAATCGTGACGACGCACATTCGTAAAAGAAGTATCGACGGGGTTGCACGTTTGATCGATGGCGCCGTATTTATCAAAACAGCAGAAAATAGGACTTGCTTATGCTTGCTTGATATAAAAAAAAAAGAAAAAAGAGAATATGCTGGGTTAAGGAATACTTGTCATTGTATTTGTAAATATTTAACAACACCTTGAAGCCCTCTTCACGCATTGCTTTTTTTAAATAGTTTTCATCATTTTTATTTTACAAATAGGGCATTTACCCTATACAGGTCTATAATTTGTAAAAACGCCTCTTTTTCTGTGGACATGCTGCCACACGAACCACTGCTCAGTTCTGTCGCTTCACTCGCCATCGCAAACAAATGTCGCACGCGCAGTCAATACATCCACTTACGTCGAAGCGCGGGCGCCGACTGGTCGTTCTAAATCGTAACGTTGCGATTACACTGTCCTAAATTGTAGACAATTTAGAAAGTAGAGCGGTCGGGACCTCCAACTTTAACTAAATCGGATCCTAACTGTTCTAAAGCGCTTATTACATTATCCAATTTTTAGAAAATCTAATTAGGAACCTAAGTTGGAAGTTAGTGATCACATTACACTAAATTGAATTCTAAATCGTGACGAAGCACATTCGTAAAAGAAGTATCGACGGGGTTGCACGTTTGATCGATGGCGCCGTATTTAATAAAACAGCAGAAAATAAGACTTGCCTTAGCCGTGGTGGGAATAATGGATATTAAAAAAAGAAAAAAGAGAATATGCTGGGTTAAGGAATACTTGTCATTGTATTTGTAAATATTTAACAACACCTTGAAGCCCTCTTCACGCATTGATTTTTTAAATAGTTTTCATCATTTTTATTATACAAATAGGGCATTTACCCTATACAGGTCTATAATTTGTAATAACACCTCTTTTTCTGTGTACATGCTGCCACACGAACCACTGCTCAGTTCTGTCGCTTCACTCGCCATCGCAAAAAAATGTCGCACGCGCAGTCAAGACACCCACTTAGGTCGAAGCGCGGGCGCCGACTGGTCGTTCTAAATCGTAACGTTGCGATTACACTGTCCTAAATTGTAGACAATTTAGAAAGTAGAGCGGTCGGGACCTCCAACTTTAACTAAATCGGATCCTAACTGTTCTAACTATGATTACACTTTCCAATTTCCTAATTAGATTTCCTAAAAATTAAATAATGTAATAAGCGCTTTACTATGATTACACTTTCCAATTTCCTAATTAGATTTCCTAAAAATTGAATAATGTAATAAGCGCTTAAGTGCGACACAGAGCGCTACAGGCGGCGTCCTGTTTATCTGTTTCCCCTTTTTATTACACCGCGGCGCGGGCGGCGAGTGTTTAACATTAGTATTGCCCTATATAGTATATTACTATGATTAGTATAATCATCTAATCAAAGAGAAGGCATAACACTAGAACTAGGTATAGGTAGATTAATAAAAAATAGTCTGGTAACATCACAAACAGGTGACGCATTTATCAATTTCGTTTTATGTCAAAAGAAGAGACAAAGAGTGATTTTAAATTGTATTTTTACCTATTTTATAATTTTATTTGTGCAAAATGGCATCAAGAAAAAAGGTACTTTTGAAGGTTATCATCCTGGGCGATAGTGGCGTTGGTAAAACTTCGCTCATGAATCAATTTGTCAACAAGAAATTTTCCAATCAGTACAAGGCAACAATAGGCGCAGATTTTCTTACGAAAGAGGTAATTGTCGATGATAGGATTGTAACAATGCAAATTTGGGACACTGCTGGTCAAGAGCGTTTTCAATCATTAGGGGTGGCATTTTATCGCGGGGCGGATTGTTGCGTTTTGGTGTTTGACGTAACGGCCCCTAATACCTTCAAGTCCTTGGAGAGTTGGCGAGATGAGTTTTTGATACAAGCGTCACCTCGGGACCCAGATAATTTCCCATTTGTCATTCTCGGTAACAAAGTGGATTTAGAAAACCGCGCAGTTTCAGCTAAACGTGCACAGCAGTGGTGTCAAAGTAAAAATGATATCCCTTACTTTGAAACAAGTGCCAAAGAAGCTGTTAATGTAGAACTAGCGTTCCAGACTATTGCCCGTAACGCATTGGCACAAGAAACAGAAGCAGAGTTGTACAATGAGTTCCCAGATCAAATTAAGCTGAATGCTAATGACAATGGCCGTAACAGAGATGGAGACAACTGTGCTTGCTAGAATTCAAGAGAATACTCCATTAATGGCAATATAATTAGTGTCTCATTTTTATATAAAATAATACAATAGCATATGATAATATTGTATAATTCATTTTACATTTGATATCAAGATCTTCATGTAAAAATGTAAAGGTATGATAGACAACACTTTTTCCACTGCTGTTTTGTTTGTTATGCACATATCATTTGTGTAATATTGTGCACATAATTTTAGTAGCTAAATTAAACAAACTTTTTCTTGTGAAGAAACTGCTACTTCACTTAAAGTACAACTCAATTATTAATTTTCTCAAAATGAAAAGGCTATTCTATATTTGATATTCCATATGACCTACCTTGACACAGGTGTTTATTTATAGCTGTACTGAAGCTTGATGTTTATTAAAGTATTCATGATTTATTGCCTACATGATGTATGCTGTGGAATCTTTATAATAATTGTATTGTTATTGTATCACTTGTTTGTAATATATGACATTATTTTGCTTTGAAACAAAGATAAAAATTGTAATTGAATTACACTAATGTCACCAAAGATCAAGTGCTAAATAAATACCCTTATTATTTTATTTTACAAAGAAGAGAATAATAATTGGTCTTATAAAAACAAAAAACTCCAGATCACAATGCTCAATGTTGATCAAAAATTATGTAAAATAAATTTGATTCAATTAAAAACACCTGTCACAAATTCAGTACATAGCATGATTTACTTTGAAATAATTAAACTTTTTTTTACAAGTATAAATTGAAATTAAACTACTTAATAAAGCTAAACTATTGAATGAGTAATAGTTTAATAACTTTGAATCATTAAATGCTTGTATTTAAAATCAATCATACACTTAAGAACATAATATTGTTTGTTGTCTCTAATTAGGTTTACTAAGAATGTGATATTTCTTGTTGCCACATACATTCAATACAAGCTTTATTTGTAGGATGTAATTGGATCTGTTTTGTTATACAATTAAAAAGGGAGGAAGCATACATTGATAGTGTATGGAAACTGAATTTTATGTAAATTTATTGGCTCAGTTCATTAATAAATTCAACTGATTATATTGGCAACAAACTGTTTAACATGCATATAAAATATTTCTGTATATATTTGAAATTTATGTTAGATATAAGTAGTTAATGGTAACAGTAACATGTTTATTATAGAAATTACTTAGCATTTTACATATTACATTTTGTCAGTGTTTGATTATTAATATTTTTAAGTCATAAAATAGGCTCTTTTGTAAAGGTATTGGTAAAGTTTATTCCATTTGTAAAATAAATGTCTAGTGTGTAAACACACTATATTAATATTTTCCTTATATTTGAACCAACAACAGATGAGAAATACTAAAATTGTAAATTTAATGTGGCGTAATTAAAATTGATACTTGATTGTGAGGAAAATAAAAATATGGAACAGTAACTCTGATACCTCTCATATTTAATTTTTCAAAATTGTTCGTTAAATCTGTTTGTTATCTCATAAAAAGAGCATTTATTTTAAAGCCCAATACCTAAAGAGTTTATAAGATCTAGTTGAAAGGTAACAAAACAAAGTGTACACTGTAATAATGGTTGCTTTTTATTTTATATTAATAAAGAAGAAAAACGTCAATGTTGTTTTACAGTTTGGTCAACCCTTGTGTAATTTGTAAAAAGTTAACAGTCACAAAACAACTACAATTACTGAAGTTTGCAATGTCTTTTGTAATTTGCACATGTTTTTCTTATAAATTAAAAGCAAAACTAAGGCTAGAGCATTCTTATTAAGAGTTCTTAGTTAGGTTTGGTATACAATGTTAGATGAAGTAATATATTTTCTTTTGCTGAGGTGGAGTTACCCCGTTTTTGGAAGAAACACTGAGGGTGGAGGGGGTTTAGTTTAGTCTAGTCTAGAATAAGCTATTAACATTAATATAATGAAATGAACTATAAGCTACCAAGTAATGACAGAGTAAGTATATCCATTATCTCATATCGTCGCATATCGACGGAGGGCAGTTGAAACAGATGGGCCGCAAAATATTTCTGATAATAATTCAAAATTTGAAGGAAAAGCTGCGGTTTTACTTATCTCTATACTATCAACATAATATGGCAGGCTAGTTTTTTTTTGTATTGAGGCACTGGCCAGTAAACAAATGTTACAATTTTAAATTTCCTTCCAACACACATTCTTTTACGAGCTAGTAGGTATGTATTTAAATAAGAAATGGATCTACGTAGGAAACATTTTCACGCAATGTGTTTTACGATTTCAAATGTCACCTAAAAGCGAATAATTTGTTTGATACACTTTAATTCAAATTGCGTTTATCCCGTTGGTATACTAAATTTAAGCACGGTCGACTATAATTTAAGCACGGTTCTGGAGGTATTTCACGAGGAATCCAGCGACAACAAAGTTTTAGAAAACTCAAATGAAGTACTTCCCTCCCAAAATCATTTAGAAGACGAGCACAACCTTGCGAAGAGAGTAAACTTTTAAAATCATAACAGATCATCGCCATGAAATCTCGCTTTTTACGGATGAAGAACTTTCAACTTACTATAAAAAACCAATTGACACACGACTAGCCTCTAAAAATATGTTAATCAATACCTTTATAAGTTTCTTATGTTTTAAAAAATATAACATTAGATATTCAACTATTTATGAGCTGGCAGAAGCGCAAAAACTGTCAGTACCTATGCCCATCGGAGGCAGATCCTATTCATGGTTTGGTCGTGTACCTAAAAGTGCATCACGCTATAAGCAGGAGTGCTACCAGGCCTGGGCTGACGCATCGATGCCTAAGAATGCAAACACCAGGGTTCTCAAAAGGAAGAATTATTTTAAAAGACCTGGAGGCGGAATGTATAATTCCGCCTCCAGGTCTTTTAAAATAATTATTGCCAAGGAAATGTCAGAGCACATAGGCAGAATAAGGTATCTTGAAGACCACCAGCTGATTAGTGATCGCCAATACGGTTTCCGACGGGTTCGCTCAGGTGATCTTCTAATTTTGCTGACTGATGGGCGGAGGCAGTAGAGTCAAAGGGAATTGGTTTGGACATAGTGAAGGCCTTTGAACGGGTTTGGCACAAGGCGGTTCTTTGGAAGCTTCCTTCCTACGGGCTTACGGAGAAATATTGCAGTTAGATCACCAGCCTTGATGCTTTGAAAATCAAAGCATCAAGGTCGTAGTAGATGGTGTATGTTTCGACCCCAAGCATTTTAATGCTAGTGTTACTCAAGGCTGCATGCTATTACGCACGCTGTTTCTTCTGCACATCAATGATATCTTGCAAACCAGTAATATTAATTGCTATGTGGATGAATGGACGGGAGTACTGTTCTCATCTATGGGCCGGGGCACCCCAGTGCCAGCTCTTTGTACATGACAGCATTCAGCGTCTTCGCTGGTGGCCGGAATCGTCGACGAACGGCTTCTTTTTGATCGGCTCGATTCACTGGCGCTACGAAGAGCGCGCATTTACTACGGAGCATGGGGAGTGCTCAGACTAATTGTTCGTATAAATGCAGACGCCAAATTCGACCATCGCACATCGTGATAAAACTCACGATACCATCCACACCATCTGGATGCTTGGCGGTCCACCACTATGCCTTTTACTAGGAGTTTTCTTACTTGCACAACTTCTTTTGGGGTATCGGCTTCCATTGGCGAATTTTCCGGAACGATACGACTTAGGGATCTTCAAGAAATGAGCTTAATCTTTCTTTTGAGTAAAAGACCGGCAACGCACCCGTAATTCCTCTAGTTTTACAGGTTGCTTATGAACACTTACCATCAGGTAAGACAGGTGCGCGTTTGCTCCCCTTTTCTGTAAAAAAAAATGCCTTTCAGTATGTTGTTTTGAAAAATATAAAAAATACCTATACGTTTATATTTATTTATTTACAGAGTACTTTCAATAAGTCTCAAGTTAATCGCCCCGTAACATAAAAAGTTTCATAAAAACTGTAACATACTATTCCCCCCTCTTAAGTATTAAATTACGCAATTTTTTTTAATAGTGAATGTTTAGCTTTTTGCGTTTTGCGCTTAATGCAATTGTTTAAAAAAGAAAACCTTGCACCTCGTTTTAAGACCCCAATGGTAGATTTTTAAGGAAATTAAAATGTGAATTTTATTATTTTTGGTTATTATTTTCCACAGTATATGCAATTTTAAAATTAATATAAACATTAATTAATTTTCTCCGTACAAATTTGAAAACCCTCTGGCCCACGTACCTAATACCTAATAATAAATAAAAAATAATAATAAATAATAAATACTTTTGAAAAATCGCTAAATCCGAATTCATTTATTTTATTTACAGAGTACCTTCAGTAAGTTTCGATTCAGTCACCCTGTAAAATAAAAAGTTTCATACAAACTGTAACACCCTCTTTCACCATCTTAGGGATTGAATTTCCAAAATTCTTTCTTAGTTGATGCCTACGTTATAAAATTTCACGTCTACGTGTAACGGTTTAGGCTGTACGTTAATAGATGTGTTACTCTACTCACTCAGTTTTTTTTTCTCAAAGTGTATGTTGTTGGTCCTGCGGCCTTTACAGCTTCATCGAAACAGACTCGTGAGAGGACTTACGAGCTATTGAGTGCCCCCTGCTTTTGGAGTGAGGCGCCTCGAGCCAGGGAGGCTCGAAGTCATTCAAGAGCCCCTCTTTTTTGAAAATTTTAAGTAGGGTAATAACTTGTAAAACCTTTAAGCTGTGCGAGAAACAGTCTGGGTTAAAGTCTGCAGTTTTGATTTTAGAGACGAACTTAATATTTCATCGAAACTGATAAAATGCTAATAGTAATATTAAAAATATAGATACTTAGAATGCTACTGTTTACTTATTCGGATAGCATATAAGGATATAAAAATTGACAGTTTTAAATTATCCAGACGAGTGATCATTACTGGGAGGTTACGCCGTAATCGCGACGTCTAGTTGATTAAACTTAATCTCTAAGGCGGTATACTTATACAAAT